TGTATTATGGGCTTGGAAGAAGCTATCGATTTAAGAATCAAGATTCTTGATGTGTATGGAGATTCAGCTTTAGTGATTAATCAGATTAAAGGGAAGTGGGAGACACGTCAACCTGATTTGATCCCTTATCGTGATTATGCAAGAAGATTGTCAACTTTCTTCAATAAAGTTGAGTTTCACCATATACCAAGAGCAGAGAATCAAATGGCAGATGCTTTAGCGACTTTATCCTCCATGATTGTGGTAAATCATTGGAATGATGTGCCAAAGATTGATGTGATGCGTCTTGATAGACCAGCTCATGTGTTTGTAGTTGAAGAGGTGGTTGATGATAAACCATGGTATTATGATATTAAATGCTTTCTTCAGAATCAAGAGTATCCACTTGGGGCATCCAAGAAGGATAGGAAAACTTTGAGAAGATTGGCTGGTAGTTTCTTCTTGAATGATGATGTGATGTATAAGAGAAATTATGACATGATCTTGCTCAGATGCGTGGATAGACACGAAGCAGATATGTTGATGAAAGAAATCCATGAAGGATCCTTTGGCACCCATGCCAATGGACATGCGATGGCTAAGAAGATGTTAAGGGCAGGTTACTATTGGCTGACAATGGAATCTGACTGTTGTAAATACGTGAAAAAGTGCCATAAATGTCAGATTTATGCTGACAAGATTCATGTGCCTCCAACTCCTCTCAATGTTATCTCTTCTCCATGGCCTTTTTCAATGTGGGGCATTGATATGATTGGAATGATTGAGCCTAAAGCGTCAAACGGACACCGTTTCATATTGGTGGCTATTGACTATTTTACCAAATGGGTTGAAGCGGCATCATATGCAAATGTGACTAAGCAAGTAGTGGTCCGGTTTATCAAGAATCAAATCATCTGTCGGTATGGTGTTCCGAGCAAAATCATCACTGATAATGGGTCGAATTTAAATAACAAGATGATGAAGGAATTATGTGATGAGTTTAAGATTGAGCATCATAATTCTTCTCCTTATAGACCCAAGATGAATGGGGCTGTTGAAGCTGCTAATAAGAACATTAAGAAGATTATTCAAAAGATGGTTGTTACATACAAGGATTGGCATGATATGCTTCCTTTCGCTCTGCATGGGTATCGTACATCCGTTCGCACTTCAACAGGGGCAACCCCTTTTTCTCTTGTTTATGGCATGGAAGCAGTGCTCCCGATAGAGGTTGAAATCCCTTCCATGAGAGTTTTGATGGAAACTGAATTGGCTGAGGCTGAATGGTGTCAAAGTAGATACGACCAGTTGAATCTGATTGAAGAGAAAAGAATGTCGGCTTTGTGTCATGGCCAATTATATCAACAAAGAATGAAGAAAGCATTTGATAAGAAGGTTCGACCCCGTGTGTTCAGAGAAGGTGACCTCGTGCTCAAAAAGATCTCGACTTTTACTACTGATTCTAGGGGCAAGTGGACTCCTAATTATGAAGGCCCGTATGTTGTTAAGAGAGCCTTCTCTGGCGGTGCATTAATTCTTACAACTATGGATGGAGAAGAGTTCACTCGTCCTGTGAATGCCGATGCAGTCAAGAAATACTTCGCCTAAAAAATAAAAGAACAGCTCGCTAAGTTGAAAACCTGAAAGGGCGGCTTAGGCAAAAATGAGCGTCTCGGTGGATTGAAAACCCGAAAGGGCGGTCCAGGAAAAAATTAGAGACAAAATAGAAATAATCATCCCGGTAGATTGAAAACCCGAGAGGGCAATCTAGGCAAAAGTTAGGGATCATGGCAAGTAACTGCATCTGGCCAGTCTTGATCGTTTGAAGCAACATTTCCTATCAAAGGTTTTACTTCAGATATTCTTCGCTGAAGTCTCAAGCACAGTTGGAATTCAAAGTTGTTAGGGAGAATAATGGTCATTGTATTTCAATGTAGAACTTTCCATTGTACTTACCATTTTTCAAACTTTGTAATGATCCATGGAGTTACGCCATTTGCGAACTACCATTCTATCAATAGAATTTGGGCCTTTGTCCCTTTGTTTGCAATTCTTATTTTGTTTCTGTTTACAGAATTTCATTTTATTTTTGATGATGATTTTTGAAACAAATATGAATAATTGATTTAAATTTTGAAAATTATAAAAACATTTTTCTTTGATTTGTGAAAATAAAAGAAAGAATGTCAACAGTAATCCCAAGAATGGTAGAATCTTGAAGCGAAAAGCGTAAGTGTTATCTTCAGCAGGGTTCTTTCTTGCCTCTCTGATAGAATTTATTGGCAGCTCCCCAGTAGAGTTGTGTTGATGTTTCCCCATTTGAGCTATATTGAGGTATCTTCAGTAGAGTTTGCTGATATTCCCTTAGCAGAGTTTTGTTTCTTTGGATAAACCAGACGAGTGTTGAACGGTTTTCCACAGCAAAGTCTTGATTCAAATGATCGGACAGTTGAGAAATTTGAAGACCACTTCTTCTTGATGTTTTTGCCCAAGCAGAGTTTTGTCTTTGATGATTCCTAGCGGAGGTTATGCACATTTGCTTTGGATTATTCCCCAAGTAGAGAGCAATGTTGAGAAGTGTTCACATAGTAGTCACCTGTCGGGTTGTCACTCACCTTGTGATTGTGTGTTGATTTAAAATCCCCCACAGTTTGACTTTTTGCTATGATGTTAACTTCTTATTCCCCTGGCAGGGTTGGAAGATTTGTGTTGCTATGTTTTTCTCCAACAGTTTTCTTCTCAAAGCGGAGTTCATATTGTTGAATTATTAATGGTTGAAGATTGATCTTTGGGGTCTTTTCCCCAAGCAATATCTCCATTTATTCAGCGAGATTTAAGCCTTGTAGTAGGATTTATTTTCCTTTGATGGCTCTTGTGTATCTCTTGCAGATTTTCTGTTGCTGATCCCCAGCGCGATCTCCAATGATATCTCTAACTTGCAGAGATTAGCCGAGTATTTCAGTGGTGTTGTGGTGTTGTGTTCACCCTCTGTTTTCCATTTTTGTCTGATTTATCAGCATATTCATACTCATTGCATGCACATTCATTTTGGTTGAGCATAGCATGTCTTTGTTGCATTGTGCATCCTGCAGTTTTTGTTGGTATTTCCCTTTTCCCGATGTTGTTATCTCGCAGAATGTGTGTGTCCTCTCTTCATTAGAGTGTCGACCCCTAAGCAGAAAATACCTATCATTTTTTAATTCCCCACTGAGTTTATGCCTCGTGGAAGATGCTTTGTTTAGCTTTCCTCCCCAGTTTTTTTTCTGGATGGAATTGTTCCCCAGTTGAGTTATTTCCTCATTGGGTCGAGTCTTGTTTGACCGTTTCTTTCCAGTTTGTTCCTGGATTGAACTTTGGTCTCTTGCAGCAGTTACTTTAGTTTTCCCTGGGCTGTGGAACCGGGATGACGAGAAGGTATTTTTGAGGATTTATTTTCCTCAGCAGGAATCTGTTATTGATCCCCAATAGAAGGTGAAGATTTGATTCCCCCAGTAGTGTTTTGATAACACTCTCTTGGTAATTAATTATGTAACTTCATGTGGAAGCCTCTTTATTTGAGCAGCTTGTGTAATCTCCAGAAATTTACCTTCGCAATAAATAACATTTCTCTAGTTCATCCTCAACAGAGAAGTTTATTGTGAAATGATGGATCTTTATCCGACCAGCTTTTCTGTCAATTGGAATTTCTGTGGAATAACTCCCGATAAGAATTCTATTGCATGGTTCAACCTGCTTGTATCTCTTTTAAAAGATCCCCGACAGAGTTGTTAATATCTTTTTCCAACAAATGGTTGTCTCTTTATTTGAGAAGTTTGTTGTGTGTTTGGAGCTGCTCAGTAACAAGTAGCTGATGATATATCTCTTTCTCCTACCCAGTAACAGGTAGTCGAGTATGTTTGTCCTACCCAGTGTCAGGTAGTTGACCTTTTATCTTTTTCTCCTACTCAGTAACAGGTAGTCGAGTCTGTCCTACCCAGTAACAGGTAGTTGACATGTTGTTTACCCTATCCAGTAACCGATAGTTGGTAACCCCTTTTCATTCAAGTTTATTATTCTCGCTAAACTACTCAGTAACCAGTAGTTGGCGTTGCTTCTTTTCCTACCCAGTAGCAGGTAGTTGATTATATTTCAACGAGTGGATTACTTTTTACCCAGTAACTGGTAATAAGTAATACATTTCTTTGTTTTCTACCCAGTAACTGGTAGATAACAATTCTCTTGTGTTTTTGCACTTATTTTCTACTCAGTAACCGGTAGAAAGTATTTTACCTATTCTCTTCGGTTCGAATATCTTCGCCCAGTAACTGGCACTTGGTATCTCTTTCCCCATTGAGTCGTTTCCTTTCCCTTATCGGAATAGGATCTTGCTCTTTTGTTTTCTCATGTGGAGTCACTCTTTTTCTCCCGAGCTTTTGTTTGTCTCCTGTGGCATTATTTCCCCACAAAAGTCTTATGTTCGCATATCATTAGTATAATCATATCATTTTGTGGTCTCTTAGGGCTAAAAATTGGGTTAATTGTTATATTTAAGTCTCTTCTATCTAGTCGAGACAAAGATGTCAATCTTCATATCTCCGGATAGAAGAATCTTAAATAGGGGCAGCTGTAATACCCTAATTTTTTACCCCTAAGATCCCACATTTCATTGGCATATCATTCCACAAACAAGGTCATATTTTTAGCTTTCGCACCCTTATGGGTTTCTTACTTTCTTTATGTTTGTTTTTGTTTACTAACATCTAACCAAAATACCAAAAATATTTTCCGGTCTTCATTTCTTCTTTTCAACTCAAAAGAAAATCAAAGCATCGCCCTTTCTTCTCGGTGTTACTGTCCTACTTCTCCATCGGAGTTCATCGCTGTGCTTCGCGATTTCACAATCCTTTTCTCTTTCAATTCCATTACAGATTTCCTTGTTGTTTGTAGCGTCCACTCTTCCTTCAAGATCTGAATTCTGCTTCATCTGTTTGTGATTTCGCGATGCACTGAAGTTGTAGGTTGAGTTTGATTAACGCGATTCAATGGAGTGGAGTACGTTGCAGCATCTAGATCTGCGCCATATAGGGCGTGGCGTTAGGCCTTTGCAGCCTCACGCTGCTTCCTTCCATCCTCATCAAGCTCTTGTTGCTGTCGCCATTGGAACCTACATCGTCGAATTTGATGCATTAACTGGAAGCAAGATTTCCGCTCTTGACATTGGTGCGCCTGCTGTTCGAATGTCTTACAGTCCAACAAGTGGACACACTGTGATTGCAATCCTCCAGGATTGTACGATAAGATCTTGTGATTTTGACTTGGAGCAAACTTGTGTACTGCATTCACCTGAGAAAAAGACCGAGCAAATTTCTTCTGATGCAGAAGTTCGCATGGCTTTAACCCCACTCCAACCTGTTGTGTTTTTTGGGTTCCCTAAGAGAATGAGTGTGACAGTTGTTGGAACTGTTGAAGGCGGCCGGGCACCTACCAAAATCAAGCCAGACTTGAAGAAAGCTATCGTAAATCTTGCTTGTCATCCTCGCCTCCCTGTACTGTATGTTGCTTATGCAGAAGGGTTGATTCGGGCATATAACATTCATACCTATGCTGTTCATTACACACTTCAACTTGACAATACAATTAAGCTTATCGGGGCTGGTGCATTTGCATTTCATCCAACTCTGGAGTGGATTTTTGTTGGGGATCGGAAGGGTACACTTCTGGCATGGGATGTATCAACAGAGAGACCAAGTATGATCGGAATAAAACAAGTTGGCTCACAACCAATTAAATCAGTTGCCTTTCTCCCCATGCTGCGTTTACTTGTAACTCTATCTAAAGATGGAAATCTACACGTTTGGGAAACACGTGTTACAGTGAATCCTAATAGACCTGCTACTCAGGCTAACTTTTTTGAGCCTGCAGCAATTGAATCAATTGATATCCCTCGCATCCTTTCTCAACAGGGTGGAGAAGCAGTTTATCCATTGCCACGAATTAAAGCTTTAGAATTTCATCCAAAATTGAATTTAGCTGCACTAGTGTTTGCAAATGTGACGAGTGCAGACACTTCAAAAAATAAGGCCTCATACAGTAAAGAAGGGAGAAAGCAACTTTTTACAGTTTTACAAAGTGCACGGTGTTGCACCCTAAAATTTGCTCAACCTTATTCACTTGGTTTATGTTTCAATGTCATTAGCATTTGCATATAGAGTCATGTACATAGACTAACCAGCTGCATAGCATAAGCATAGCAAGTCATTCAACAGGGGACCAATCATTATTCTCATCTCTAGAGGCCTCTCAAGAGGTTATTATCCTAATTCCATCCTACTCAAGTCCTCAGGAAAGAATTTGAAAGCAAAGAGTTCAGCAGATCAAGCCTTGAGTCCATCTCCTAGCTGAGGATATCTGAGGATCAACAAGAGGGTTGTGAGCTGTGAAGTGAAAGCATGGAGAGCATCTAGACATCTTGAGAGACTTATAAAGTCATTTGGAGAAGAAAACAAGTCATTGATGAAAGCACAAGAGCTACAGTTGAAGACAGTCAACTAGGGTTTCATCTGGGTCAACCCTAGGTCAACCCTAGGTCAATTGACTGACTTAAAAGGGCATTCAAGTCTATTGGAGAGATGTGGGGATCAACATTTGACATATGAAGAAGGATATGGAGATATGGCAAGGAGAATTCAAGAGAAATCAAGGAGAAGAGGAGTTACTAAATTAGGGTTTCTCTGTAAAATCCCCTAGTTTAGGTCAAATTTCCAAGCAAGATAAGTCAAAATGCTAACTTCAAATGGTTTCTTGGCCAACATGAAACTTGTAGAGGAACTCAAGACCTTTAATTTGAGTGGTGGAAGACCTCAAGGAGATTTATAGAACTCAAGTTATGGTCCTTGCAAGTTACAGGTCATCTGAGGTGTCTGAATTTTTGTCTGTGAAAGTGACTTGACTTCCAAGCTAGTTTTTCCCCTCAAGGAGATTTCAAATGAATTCTTGGTCAACATAAGAGTTGTTCCTCATTGTCTTAGCTTTCTAGAATGGTATGGCATGCCTTCATATGATGTGGAGAACTCAACTTATGGTCTTGACAAGCAAAGGGTATTTTGGGCATTTGTGAATTACAGGTCATTTTAACCTATACCCAAAACTCATACAAGGAGGCCTCAAATGGAAAAACTTACAACATCAAACTTGCTCCAAATGGGATTTTAAGTCTAGAAAGAAGGTCACAAATTATTGGAGAAGCTCATAGCATGGAGTTGCATGATTGGTCAAAATATGAACTAAAAAGGCTTATAAAGTGAATAATTTCAAATTGAAAAATGGTTTGGGAGATTTCCAAGTCCAAATGGAGACTTCCAATATATGATTTTGAATGGAAAAACAATTCTAAGAACAATGGTTCAAACACTTTTTTGAGTTTAGAAGGAAAAAATGAAGTTATCCATGGTTGCTTACCTTTTAAGAAACATAATCAAAATGAGCCAAAGTTTGAAAACAAGGGAATGTGCAAGATGGATCTAGAATGTACCATTGGGGTCTATATATTCATGAAAGATGAATTTGGCAAGGGTTGGCCTCATTTGCACCAAGAATTCCACAAGATTTCTCATTCTTTCTTCAAAAGTTTCATTCCAAATCTCTCAAATTCTTCATCAATCTTCATCAAGATCAATTCAATTGTGCTCCATTATCATCATAGATCATAATTGAAGCAAGGATCAAGTGATTATCATCCATTTTCGAGTGCTTGTTTCAAGAACATCAAAATCACAATCTCTAGTGGATAGCATAATTCTGGCCAAGTCTCATCCAAAGCTTGCATACAGAATCAAGTTCATCAAGGATTGATCAAGATTCAACACTTAGAAGCTTCAGATCCACATCTTCCATAGCTGTTTTCAAGGTTTCTCATCAGGTAAGTTTTCATTCGATTTGCTTAATTCAGTTCGTTTAACATGATTTTATTAGCTTAGACTTGATCTAGGTGGTTAGGAGATTAAGTTAGATGAATTTGGAACGATTTGGTGATGGTTAGTGACAGGTGTAACAAACTGTTAGTGCTTATATCTCTTAGATTAGTGCATCATAATTGTAGCGTGATTGATCAAATTAATCTCCATTAGGCATAGGTTAGTTTAGGTCAAGTTTGAGGAAGAATGGTGATGGTTCATAACAGTATGATTTCATGGTGGCCAGTGTTTGATTCAATTGGATTTGTTGTTGTGGTGAGTTTCAAGTTAATCTAATGCCCTAAGCTTGTAGAGGGAAGAATTTGGAGTGGTTTTTGTGTTTACAGCATGTGGATTCATGGCGTGTAAGATGAGAACAGCTTGGTGTAAAGCTTGCTCGTGCATGGAGCCATGGTGAAGTGAAACCCTAAGTTTCAGGTCATTTGGGGAAGACGAAATCGTGGCCTTTCATGTTGAGTAGGACTTTTGACTGTAAGAGCGATCCAATGGCCAGCATTTAATCTGAGCGTTTGGAGGGAATTGAAGTTTGGCCCTAAACGCACCGTTTCATTAAATGAAACGGGCGGGCCTGATTGGATTTTGTTATCCCCACCCCCAATGTGAGCCCAAAACCAATTTCTAACGTGATTTTGTTACTTCCTTCACCCCCCAGCGTGTTTTATTTGTTTCACTAATTCAGAGTGGTATTGGGCCCTAGTGCAAGCGCTATCTGCACCCCCTGTCTGAGGGCCCATCCAGATATCAACTGGGCGAGTTTCTATTTCAACCCCCTCCCTCATTTTTTAATTCATTTTAATTTTCTTAATTTCATTCTAATTTTTACCATTTTCATTAATTCATAAATAATTCATAAAAAATGCATTTTAATCCATTCTTTTTACCATATTTTCATTAAAATGTCTAGAATATTATAGGAAAATAAAATTTCATTTTTAGTTTTATTTCATATTTTTTACATACTTTCTAAATAATTGTCATATTAAATAGATTCATTTCATGCATCCTTTTAATGATTTTTGTTCTCTTACATGCTTTAATATTTTTTAGTCATTCTTTTTATATTGTTTAGATGAGGTATTAAGCTTGTAGAAATATTTTAGTTTCTATTTTTAGAGGTTAATTTTAGGTGATTAATAAATGCTTGAACATCATGTACAAAACTAGGGTTTTAGGTGACAACTTAGGAGTTTGATTTCATTCCCCTTAGGACTTAGGATTTAAATAGATTAGTTATGGGACTATATGGGCTATGGGTAGCTATTAGATCCCTTAGAAAGGTCAGGATTCCCCTACTGCTATTATTCCTGTCTGTATATCTGCTGTCTGGTGTGGTGTGCCCTCTGGGGTTTATTGTTGCTTGCTTGTTTGGGTATTGGGTTTGTCTGGGGCCCTGGGGGAAGCTGAAGATTTGTGAAGATGAAGATCATTGGAGATTCAGAGATTGAAGATCAACTGTCAGAGTTGGAGAGGAGGTTCTTACCAGCAGCTGTTGAGGAGACTAGGGTTTAGGAGCTTTGCAGAGCTCTAGATTAGAATGATTGTTTCTCAAACATGGATTGCCTTGTCTGCATCCATTCTTCTCTGTGATTCAGAGTCTCTCTAAGACACTCACCCCCTTCCTTTGGAAGGCTTGGTGATAGTGTCTATGAGATAGAACTCTTGAGAGAAAATGTCTCTTGTGTTAGAAGCAGTCTGTTCACCACCTTTGGTAGTCAGCTGATTGCTTAACACCCAATTCACTCTTGTGACTGATCCCTCATCCTGGAGGTTTGAGCATGAAGAAAAGCCATTGCAGATGGAAGACTGATGATCAAAGCCCTTGCCTGAAGGCCATGAAGATGGAGATTGATGCTTGTTGAAGCTTGTGAATGATTGGAGATTGCTTGAAGCCAGTTGCTGATTCAGAGCTGCTGATGCTGTTTCTTTTGGCTGTATTTCATTTGTTGATGTATTGATTGGTTTTCCTGGACTGTATTGTTTGCTGTTTATCCTGCTGGGTTGAAAGTGAAGCCTGTTCACTTTCGCCTATTGTTTTCTAGGTTCGAGGTTGAGTGGGACTCCCTTGCCTCGCTTGTGCTGTTGCATCCATGCATTTTATTGTTTTACTGTATATATCTGGTATTGTTTCTGTTTCTGCCTATCCCGTAGGATCTCTGTTTCTCTCTGTGCAAGAGAGGAGCATGATAGACACTAGGTCTTAACCCATGCATGATAACATTAAGTTAGTTTGATTCCCTTCGCAACCGTAGGTTAGAGTTCTGTCTCTTTCTTCCTCAAAACAAACAGAAAAACATATAAAGATTTCAAACACAATAAAAGACACTTCTTCCGTAAAAGAATGTGAACTCATCAAAGCGTCATTTTTGTCCGCCGGGACTGTTAATCAGAAAAACCTTTTTCAGAAGGAATAAAATCAATCAAGACAGACCTGTGTCGTGCGTGGCCCGAACTACGTTTGCTCTGATCTTTCATGCTGTATGAAAGTACGTAGGCATAGGATGCGACATCCTAGCGAGCAATCTTCCCCTCCTTTCCCGTAGGTAGGCGAACTACGTTGACTCTGATTTCTCGTTCCAGACGGGAATACGTAGGCATAAAGTGCGATACTTTGTCGAGTCATTTTTATTTTTATTTTCATTTCTTTTTAACCCCTGACCTTTAGAGTAGATAGAATAACAATCCATACCCGAAAACAAGCGTGGATCCCATCGAGTACGATGGACGCGAGGGGTGCTAATACCTTCCCCTTGCGTAACCGACTCCCGAACCCAGGTTTTGGTTGCGATGACCATACCTTTCCCGTGTTGTGCGAGGTTTACTCTGAGCGTTTCCTTTCCCTCCCGTGGGATAAATAACGCACGGTGGCGACTCTTCTGTTCAGCCGGCGCCGATTTTCGCAGTAGCGACAGCTGGCGACTCTGCTGGGGATCCAACGTCCCCTGGCTGCTAAGGACTGCGATGGTTCTTATGCATTTGGGATCCAACGTCCCTTGAGAGAGTCAATCCTAACGCTTGTTTTCCCGTCGAGGATTTTGTATGGAGTTATTGTATATTTCTAACCTTGTATTTTCAGCTTTATATATTGATTATTGTTGCTGTATCTGGGGTGTGACGGGTGTTCTGATATTGAGAGATAAGCCGGACCTGGGCTTGAGTGCACCTAGAATTAGAGTAGAAATTAGTGGGCGCCCGCTTGCTTTGCTTGCTTTGGTGTCCCATGAAATCTACACTCAGAC